TCATGTGACAAGTGAGATTTTGATTGGGTTGAAAACAGAGTGAAGGTCACCAGGCTTTCCACACCAAAAGAAGCAGAAGTGTCCAGAGCAGTGATCTAGGCCCACTGAACATGGTCTGTTTCTGGCCTTCAAACTGAATTCTCAGGTCCTCCAGGAAGAAGCAAGAATGCAGATTCCCCTGCAGGCTTCACTGATGCTCCTGTGTGTGCAGCTAACCTGTGAGTGAGAGGGAGAGTGGAAGGGTGGAGGGGGGGCCAACCCGGGGAAATAGAGCACTTCTGGTAATGAAATGTAGATGGATCCCAGGAACACCTGGGGGTTATTCTAAGGAATACAGAAGAACTAGGGGAAATTCTTTTTAAAAAAAAAAAAACAGTTTTTTATGTATAAAAATCTTTTCACTTCCCCTGAACAGGGTCATACAGAGAACCACAGGTGGAACAGAGCCCTCCTTCCCTGAAAGTCCAGGAAGGCAAGAGCTTCACACTGAACTGCAGCTACAAAGACAGAGCTTTTGATTTCTTCTATTGGTTTAGGCAGGATCCTGGGGAAGGCCTCATCTCCCTGATACAAATGCAATCAAATGTGAAAGACAAGATCAGCGGAAAATTCACAGCCAGGCTTAACAGACCAGTGCAGTACTTTTCCCTGCACGTGAGGGATTCCTGGCTCCGTGACTCAGCCATGTTCCTGTGTGCAGCGAGCAAATCCACAGTGTCGCTCAGGCACCTGCCCCCTGCACCCAAACCCTGCAAAGCCCTGCACCTCCTCCTGTGAGGGTTCCAGAACACTGACTGTAACTTTGCTCAGAGCAAAGGGAAATGTGAAGGGTTTTTAATAACATAATGTCAAGTATTTCATTTGAAGACCACGTGCCGAGGAATAATGTTGTCAAATACCACCTGATGTATTTTGTTTCTCAGTGTGAAGCCTTTACTCCGTTAAAACTAGTCCAAAAACCTGAGGTTTAATATCAGAATGGAGAGAGCACTGAAAAGAACAAAGAGAACAGAGTGAAATTCTTGTAATTGAGCTCCTTTGTAGACCTTTGTCAGGACAGAGGTCTCAAGGTCTGTGGGGTCCTTACTAAATGCTATTCTTGCTAAATGTTAAAAACAGCACAGTATTTTGCAGACACAGCTGTAAACAGGATGAGCTTGACAGGAACTCAACCTAAGTGTAGCCGATTGCAAAGAAGAAATCAACATGTGATTAACCAAATAGTGTATATAAGCAATAGCTAAGCCTTCCTTCAGGAAGACAGAGCTTTGGATGTGAGTTCCCTGCCTCCTTTACTTGCTACAAGTGAATAAAACTGCCTGATGACAGCCATGGCTCATTCTTGAATAGAACACCCCAAGCGGCGAACCTCTTGAGTTCAGTAACACCTTTACAAATATATCTAAAATACAAAATCTTAAAAGTTGTGACTATCAAATTCCCTAATGAAAGAAAATATACTTTTGACATTCCTAAAAGAGTGGCTTAGAAGATCAACATCCAAAACCTGAGCGAAAATGGTATTAAGTTTATACCATGAAAAGAGAACACAACATGACGGAAAATCTAGTTCCTCCTTAAAAGGGATAAAAGGTCAACCAGCTGTCTGGAGAAGAGCTAAAAGGAGTGTGACCGAAGGTTATAAACAGTAGGTTCCTTGAAAAGTGCCCAGCATCCTGCTCTTTTCTAAGGTCAGAACCCTGAGCAGGTGGGGTGGAGGATGGTGAGTCACATTTAAGGATGACCATGAACTGAAGGAGCAGTGTGTGTAGGCAGAACTTGTTCAGATCACTGTGTCTTTCATCAATACCCACTGGACAGCATCCCACTACAGAGGAAGCACTGGATGACCATGTGAACAAGATGATCTGTCCAGAGGCTATCACCAGCCTCTGTCCACCTCAGTGCTTGAACAATAGACCCATGAACAGATGAGCAAGGTGGCCGAATAGAGGTTCTCCATGAGCCCAGAAGCATGGTTTTCTCTTACCAAGGTGGATTTAGTTACTTCTGCTGTCAAATAGCCAACTTGTTACCAATAGATTAAATGCTAAACCTTCAATATGGGATCACCTCTGAAGGAGATCACCAGCCACTTGTTGGCAAGCTGATTACATTGGACCCTTCCACCCTGGAGGTGGCAGAAATCTTTTTTTATTGGGGTTAATACATACTCTGGGTATAATTTTGCCTTCCCACCATAGTATCACACATAGCAGCATGAACTGAGAGTGTCTGATTTACCATCATCGTCATCAAAGGATTTCACATCCCTTTGCATCAACAGATCCACTTTATAGCAAAGAGGTGTGACAGTGGGCATGTGATCATTGAGTATATTGGCCCTACTACATACAGCATTATCCACAAACCAGTAGTCTAATAGGACATGGTAATAACAACTTAAAGGCTAAAGCACCAGCCTTGAGATAGCACTCTGAGAGGTTGGAGAGCTATTCTTCAAGATGGTGCTGAGTTCCAAAGCAGCCCTCAATCAATAATGGACAATGAGTTTATGGATTATTCCAGCTCCTTCATGCCTCACTTGGGATAATTCCAAAGGGTATACTATACCAAATCCCAGAGTTACCCAGCTGGATTAAGCACCATGGTTCATAGTAGTAACTGGCATGATGACTGTATTGGTTTCTTTCCCTTCCAACCAATGTTTCCTAGAATCATCAGCATATAAACTGTTTACACACACATTCTCATATTGGAGGTGACTTCTGGGGATCCAAAACCCAGATACAGGAATTCAAGTCATGGGACAAGGATGGAGATTATCTAGAAGACATTCTGGTGCCCCTTCTTCTATTGCTATCAAACTGGGTTTCAGGACACAAGGGATTCTAGCAGCCTCATTCAGAGCTGGTCCCCACTCTAATGACTCTCTGGGCATCTCTCTGAGTAGAGAGACTCAGCCAGAGAACCGTGCTCCTCAGACAGTACCGGGGATGTTACAGGACCCTATTCATACTCAAAGCTTGGGGACTCCAGCTCTGGAATTAAGTAAGTATCTCTGTCACTCCATCTGGAAACACAAAATTCTAATGTGTTTTTTTTAAGTTCTTTGTTCACAATATAGTTTTTAAAATGGATTGAACGATGAGAGCTTCTCTTAATATGAGTTGTTTGAAGCAATTTGGTGCTGATGAGAACTTCTGCAATAGTTGTTTCAGAGTTTCTTGATACAGCACAAAGACTTTTTGAAAGTATCCATGGAAGATATAGGCACAATTAGACATGACATGATCAGCTTCCGAGTTTAGTCTGTGCCCTTTTCAGTCACAAATGTATATATTTTTTCTCATTTGTTATTTTGAAAAATCATAAAAATATAAAAATTGAATACATTAATATAACAGATGTATTCTTATCACTCATAACTAATTGCTCATGGTTATCATAGTTGCTTTGTCACTTTTATTTAAAGAAAAAAGAAAAATTATAGAGTTTGTCATCATTGCAAATGACACCCTGCCACTTCTGCTTGGCATTCCAGATCTATTCTTCTGTCCAAGATTAGGTCTTATGGGAGATAAATTTGCCAGTTCCCTTTCCTCTTCATTTTCATCCTATAATAAAAGAACTCAGAAAACATTTTTCACTTTCATTTGACATTATAACCAAAGGCTTATTTTCTGAAAAAGAGACCAAAAAGTATTGGAAAAACTTTCCTCACTGAGACATAGTCACCTGCCCGCCTATTATACCATTTCCTGCTCTGAAGCAGAAGTGTCACCTAGCACAGAGGAGAACCCAGGTTAGAGCAATTGACTTCTCACCCCGTGGAGACAGCTGTGAGCATGACCTTTGCTACCTTGCTTGGGCAGTCATGGTCTCCACCTGTCTTGGTAAGGAAGGTGTAGGTCCTTATTTATAATGTTATATAAGGGGGTTCTGAAACAAGAGAAGATTAATAAAACAGGAACGGCAATGCTTCACAGAGCCCAGCTATGGGGAGCTAGAAAGCTGCTATGTTCCGCCTAAGGTTTGGATCAAGGAGAGGAAAAGTGGGTGGGGACAGGAAACACTGCGAGTCGGCCTGCTTTATCTTGCTGGAGAATCCGTGCATGAGGAAAAATGAGATGCCAATGACTCTCTCACAGATGTGCAACACAGAAGGTTCCCACATAAATTTTACATTAACTATTCTGATTCTTCATTCACAAGCCACGAAGAGATGAGCACAATGGTTCTTACAGGAACATTTGCCACTGGTATTACCGAGTTGTAGAGCTTCCTGACACAGCCAAAGCCAAGTATTCTTTGAAAAAAAAAAAAGTCTTCAAGAAGATAATAAGGCAATACAATATCAAAATCCTGGTTCTGATTTTCTCCACATTATCCAAGTGTTGCTGTTGTCTTTATCATAATTTTTCAGTTTTGAAAATGATGAAAGTATAGAATTTGTCAAAGAATAATAGTATAACCAAAATCTGTGATATGGCAACCCAGAGACCATTATGATATTGGTTTTAAGACAAAAGAAAGAGAGGGAGGAAGGAAGGGAGAGAGGAAAGAAGGGAGAAAGGGAGTGAAAGAGAGGGGAGAGAGAGAGAGAGAGAGAGAGAGAGAGAGAGAGAGAGAGAGAGAGAGAGTGGAGAGTGGAGAAAAGGAAAAGGAAAAGCAAAAGGAAGCTTACAGAGAAAACTTGTCATTATATATTAGATTTGCCTGGTTTTTTCCCCACCCATTTCATTCTCCTCTCCAAGATTACATGTTTACAAAAACAATTCATCAGTTCCCTCTTTTAATTTTTATCACAGAATAAATTACAGTTCTAACATCTTTTTTCATTTGGCATTATAGCCAAACTTTTATTCTCTGAAGCAAAAGACAAAAAGCATTGATAAACTTTTTTATGCAAGACATAATCAATGGCCCACCTGACATACCACTTCCTGTCATAAAGCAGTGATGTCACCAAGTACAGTTTATACCTAAGTTTCAGATTAGAACCAGAGATATTTTCACCCTGCTGCTGAGAGCTACCGGCATGGCATGCCCCAGTTTGCTGTGGGCATTCATGGTCTCCACCTGTCTTGGTAAGGAAGGCACATGTATTTCTTTATCTTAGTATCTAATAGGACTGGGAAGTAAGAAGAAAGATTAATAACACAGGGATCTTATCTCATTGGTCCCAGCTAATGGGGACAAGAAAGCTATGGATTTGTACCTGAAGCTTGGTTATTAAGAAGAGGAGAAATGGGTGGGGACAGGAACCAGATGGGAGTCTGCCTGCTTTATCTCTCCAGTGTCATACCCCAGTGCAGTCCTTTCTCTCCTCTTTCCCACAGGATCCAGCGTGGCCCAGACAGTCACTCAGCCTCATCCAGAAATGTCCGTGTGGGAGGCAGAAACTGTGACCCTGGCCTGCACATATGCCACTAGTGATAGTAATTATTATTTGTTCTGGTACAAGCAGCCTCCCAATGGGGAGATGATTGTCATTATCCGCCAAGAATCTTATAAGCAACAAAATGCAACAGAAGATTGCTTCTCTGTGAACTTCCAGAAAGCAAGCGAAAGCTTCAGTCTCAGGATATCAGACTGCCAGCTGGAGGATGCCGCGATGTATTTCTGTGCTTTCAGTGGGGCACAGTGAGATGAATGACAATGAGAGGCTTACAGAAACCTCAGACTTCGGCGTTTGTGTTGGGGGTGAGAGGAGTGATTGGGGTAACAGGAACATAGAGAGGAAATCATTGACTTCTCTGAGAAGAAAAGAATATTACTTTATCTGACTATAGAAAACATAGAAAGGATGTTTATAAGCTACAATTCTCAAGATAGTAATAAAAATGGTGAACGTGCACAATGTTATAGAGTTTTGCAAAGACCTTCACATATATTTATTTCATTTGGTTCCAACAACTTTGTGTGTTATTTAGGACAGGTCAGATATTCTATGTCACAGTGACTCTCATAGCTTGAACTAAAGCTGTATTCCAGAATCGTGCCTTAACTTTTTCATAATGTAAATCACTCAAATTACTATCCACCTATAATACATTTCTCACAATTATATCAAAGTCACCATATCCATAATTGAATTTCCTATTCTCTCTACAAATCTTTTTTTTTTTTAATTTTCCCTCTTCAGCCTTGCTCAGGATTCAGGAACACAATAAAGATTTGCTGTTGCTAAGTTTAGAGAATTTCTCCATCCTATACCTCCCAGCATAGGTTATCTGATTTTTTTGATACACTTCTTATTTCTAATTACAAAGCAATTCAAAAAAACTTCGTGTCTATCTCACTGTCTCCCAATTGATCTATCATTCTTCCTGACTTTAATCTAGTTTCACTCTGTATTTCTTAAAGTTTCTTAATGCACCATCTATCTGACCTGAGAAGATTAGGAAACAGAGCAAACAACTCTCAGATAGGACTCATGTGCTGCTAGCACTCATCACCAAATGCTAAAAAANACCCCTTTCACTATTAACTTTTGCTCTAGGCATTGTATTTTAATCTTCCTAACTTATAACTCCATTAAGACCAACTAGATCTTGTGAAATTATTTAATACTCCCATCCCATCATGTATTGTAACACTTGATACTTGGTGGGTGCTTGGTACATACTTTTGACTATAATGTCTTCTATTTCTTCTAATGTCTTTTATTTTTTCCTCAAGTGTTCTCCTCAAAGAGAAAACTCAGTGTTGAATGGTTCTATTTGTTTCTGGACAGTTCTTGCAGGAAAAGGGATTTCAGTGGGACCTTACTTGAGATAGTAGAGGATTGAATTTAGTATTTTTAGAATAGAGAAATTGTATGTATAAGGCTGTCCCACAATGACTGCAGTGAATGTAATGGGTGAAAAATTGCTGTCCCCCAAACCTAAACAGAAGCCTGTTACACAATACACAGAAGAGCACAGGACTAGGCATTAGCCCAGTAGTTAGTTAGACAGCAGGGTTGAATCCCACTTCATTCTTTACCAGCAGTGTGATCTTAGGCTTATTTTTTAACCCCTGTAAGCCCTAGTTCCCTCTTCTGTAAAATATAGATGTTCTGAGAATTAAATGAGATTATTCATTCACTTTGCATAGTGATTGGTGTGTGGTACAGCTCAGTATATATTAGGTATTAATATCATATTTTGTTCTTTTTTCCACAGCATTGTGTAAGAGGTATGTGAGGACCTGAAGAAGCTGTGATGCTGTTCTCCAAGACTTAACATGGTACAGAAAAGGTACTCTGCTTGTAGGAAGGCAAGATAATTAATAAACAGACCCAGTTCATCAGAAGTAGCCACTCATGTTTGGGGGAGTCCTAAAAAAATAAAAACCTCTCCACCCTCCCAATCTCTCCCCATCAATATAACAGTCCACATGGTTGAGACAACACTTTTGTGGTGGGCATCTACTATTTTGTCCACTCACAGCAGCAACTCCCTCCTGGTAAAATATAAACTCTAACCATGTGGTCTGAATGGGGGCTGCCATCATACTTATGTAAACACCTTAGATACTCCTGAATGACCCAGGAGTGCATGCCGGACCCAGCTGAGCTGATCATATCACATACACCCTGCTGCAGCCACAAATTAACCCCCTGGAAGAAAACCTGACTCAGACTCAGGTAAGCAAAGTCCTATCATAGAATTTTTAAATTTGGTTTGAAAAAGAGGGTTCCTTGGTCCTTCTCTGGTGGTTACGCTGTGAGTTGAACTCCAGTTAAAAAATGTTTGCAATCATGGCTCCTGTTTTCTGGCCTCAGTGAATGAAGCTGATACACAAAGACAAGTGGAATGAAAGGAGATTCCTTGCAGGATTCAGTTCCCTGGCTTCCTG